TTTCTTTCTTTCTTTCTTTCTTTCTTTCTTTCTTTCTTTCTTTCTTTTTGTTTTTGTTTTTAAAGACAGGGTTTCTCTGAGTAGCCCTGGCTTTCCTAGAACTCACTCTGTAGACCAGGCTGGCCTCAGACTCACAGAGATCTGCCTGCTGGGATTAAAGATGTGTGCCACTGCCACCTGGTGTTTTTCATTCTTTTTTTAAAAAGTAATTTATTTATTCTATGTACATTAGTTTTTGCCTGCATGTATGTCTGTATGAGGATGTCAGATCTTGGAGTTACAGACAGTTGTGAGGTGCCATGTGGGTGCTGAATTGAACCTGGGCCTCTAGCCAGAAGGGACCCTCTAACCTTTATCTTTACACCTAAGAAATATTTACAGGAACGGGGAGTAGGCTCAGTGTGTACAATACTTTCCATTTAAGCCTGATGACCCAAGTTTAGGTCCTTAGAACCTGTGTAAATTGAAACATAATGGCACAAGCACTGTCACCCCAGCGCTGCTCTGGAAGCCTGGTGTGTACCTCAGTCAAGAAGAGGTAGAGAGGTAGAGAGCCAGGACTAATTCCCGAGATCGTCCTCTGCCTGCAAACGCAGGCAGATCTCTGTGAGTTCAAGGCCAGCCTACAAAGTGAGTCCAGGACAGCCAGGGCTACACAGAGGGGAAAAAAAAAAAGAGTAACAACAAAAACTACACTAACAAATTAAAAATAGGGATGGCAAGATGGCTTAGCACGTGAAAGCACCATCAGTCCTGGTGACCCAAGTTTTATCCTTGGAAGCCACGTAGTGGAAGGAGAGAGCTGACTCCCTCAGGCTGCCATCTGACTTCCACCAGCTCTCTGTGGCACATACAAGCTCCCTTCCCACAGATAAATAAATCAATGTTTTGTGGGGTTTTGTTTGTTTGTTTGAGACAGAGTTTCTCCGTGTAGGCCTGGTTGTCCTGGAACTGGCTCGACCAGGCTAGCCTTGAACTCAAATCCACCTGCCTCTGCCTCCTGAGTGCTAGGATTAAAGGTGTGGGCCGCCACCACCTGGTGATAAATCAATCAATCGATAAATATAAGAATTAATGTATTATTTTGGTAAAAAATATACATAACATAAAATTTACTATTTTAGCCTTTTTTATAAAGCAGGTTCTTGCGGAATAGCTTAGGCTGGCCTCAAACTCATCCTGATTTAGTCTTCTGAGTGCTGAGATTCTAAGCATGCACTACCACAATCAATGAACCTTATTCATTTTAGAATATATAATTGACTGGGCGGTGGTGGCACATGCCTTCAATCCCAGCACTGGGGAGGCAGAGACAGGCATGAGCTCGAGGCTAGCCTGGTCTACAGAATGAATTCCAGGACAGCCAATTAATTTTTATTTAATTAATTAAAATATATAATTGGGCTAGGCATGGTTACCACTCCTTTAATCCCAGCATTTGAGAGGCAGAGACAGTCAGATCTATGTGAGTTTAAGGCCAACCTGATCTACATAATGAGTTCTAAGGCAACCAGGGTTCTGTAGAGAGACCCTGTCTCAAAAATCAACAACAGAAAAACAAAGTACATAATTGTTTGAGGGCTAAAGCAATGCCTCAGTGGTTAAGAGTGGTTAAAAGTTTCAGAGGACCTGGCTTCAATTCCCAGCATCCACACAGTGGCTCACAACCCCCTCTAACTCCAGTCTCAGGGGATCTGATGCCTTCCTCTGATCATCGTGGGCACCAGGCAAGTATGTGGTGCACAGACATGCAGGCAAAACTGGACACATGAAAATTTAAAGTAGCTAATTGTAGCATCAGGTGCATTTGCAGGGCTGCAGCTATAGCTCAGTGGCACAACACTTGTCAATCATGTACGAGTGAGACCCTAAATTCAACCCCCAGCGCCATACACAGAAAGTACATTTGTAATGTTATTACAACCCTCAGCACTATCCATTTCTAGAAACATTTCGTTATCACAAACAGAACTTGCCTGCTGAACAGTATGCTTTCTGCGAATTCGCCTCTTTCCAAACTGCATGTAAATGTAATCTTACCTTATTTGGACTTTTCTGTGTGGTTTAATTCACTTAGCATAATGTGTTCAGGTTTTAGCCAAGTTGTACCATGATCCAGAATTTTATTCCTCCTTAAGGTAATAATAGCCTTTTTATGTATATACACAGTTTATTCATCCATTCTTATATTTATAAGCATTTGGATTCTTTTAACTTTTGTCTGTTGTGAAAACTGCTGCTGTGGACATTGGCTGGTGTCTGCTTGAGTCCCTGCTTTCAGTTAGTCTGGGTACATACCTAAGAGTGGAATTGCTGGATTATAATGTCATTCTGTCTAACTTTATGAGGAACTGCCAAATTGTTTTACATACCAACCAAGAAATAATGAGCTAAGTCTAGACTATAGGCCATAATTACATAATTTAAAAAAAACAAAACTAAACTAAACTGGGGCTGGAGAGATGGCTCAGCGGTTAAGAGCACTGTCTGCTCTTCCAGAGGTCCTGAGTTCAATTCCCAGCAACCACATGGTGGCTCACAACCATCTATAATGAGATCTAGTGCCCTCTTCTGGTGTGCAGGTATACATGCAAACAGAACTTTGTATACATAAGAAATAAATAAATCTTTAAAAAGTTGTTCCTTTTATTATTTCTACCAAGTGATAAGTTGAAACCACATGGATATCCTTTTTCCCAGTAATCTAGCAACCATTGGTTTTCTTTTCTTTTTTTTTTTAAAAAAGAGATTTCTTTATTTATTATTTATACAATATTCTGTCTCATGTACACCTGCACACCAGAAGAGGGCACCAGATCTGATTACAGATGGTTGTGAGCCACCCTGTGGTTGCTGGGAGTTAAACTCGGGACCTTTGAAAAACAGCCAGTGCTTTTACCTCTGAGCCATCTCTCTAGCACTTGGTTTTATTTTTGTTTACTCTTTTGTGTAGGGGATCAGACTAAAAGCCCCCTGTGTGGTAGGCAAGTCCTCTGTTACTAAGTTACACCCCCACCC